TAACTACAAATAATATTAAAAACTTTATAAAACATCAAATTTTAACCACTGAAACCAGTACATTTTCATGTTTTTAGACATATTTTATTAGGATTTACTGGCTTTCACAAGCCACCAATAGAAGGCATCAGATAACTAGTAAATACCCACAGGACCCTAAAAAACTGTCCTAAAAAACCAATACAATTTAAATAATAAAACTATTGCAAATTCTATAATGGTTTATATTGTTTTATTTTGTCTTTTCAACAGAGAAGAGAGACTTTCATTTATGACTATTGTTTTCACAGTAAGAAAAATGGACATGACAAGTAATGGTCAAAGTTACTTGCGTGATTTAGGAAGAGCTTGTTTTAATCCACACAGGCCTTGAGGGGGCGTTGCTGCGTTCCTCCATCTGAACAGGATGTGGGCTGAAGGAGGGAGAGTCCAGAAGATAGTGATAGATGAACAGAAGATAAGAAGTGTTATATTCCTTCTCCATCACTCCACCTCGGCCAAAACTAAAGGTGGGTTCAGCCCATCCATTCCACACATGAAGGCATGTTTGCTTTTTAGATTGGCAACACCAAAAGAAATACAATAAAGCAACTTTTGTGTAGAGATTTATATTTTCAAATGTTAGACAAAATGGTAGTGAATAGGTTTTTAGACACATTGTTGAGGGAATTCAGACTCGACTAATGAACATTAACGAAGGTTTATTATATCCTTAAAAACCAAACTACAATTGATTTGTGGCTACCATGATGTATTTTTCTGTTTGTTTATTTATTTGTGATATTTCTAGTTTAGAATAGAAAATTATGAATGTTAAGAACGTTTTACAAACTTTAAAAGGTAATATATGGTACATTTCAGCTGTTTAAGAAGGCCATTATGGCATTTTAACCACTTAAGGCAAGGTGTTTTTACATGCATTTTTTATTTCTCTTTGCTATTTGGGCTTATTGGATCCTAATTAGAATAAAAAGTATCATCTTTTGATATGATGTACTTTAAGAGAAAAATGATGCCCATATATGTGGACTTGTTGTTCGAACTTATATAAAACACTTTTTCCTGAATGTTTTTTTTAATACATATATAACATATACAATTTTTTAACATGTTTTGACTATCAGAGAGTAAAAATGACATTTCCCCCCCTTTTGGACAGTGACATGACACTGTATGTCTGTAACAAAATATAAAAAATTCAAAGTATTTTAAATAGCCACTTAAGAGCTATAATGTGCTGTCCACGTATGTGGCCACTAAACCCTAGGAGGTTAAAAACCATTGAGTTCTGTAACTCCTCTGTGACCAAAAAACTTTAAGAATTGTGTTAATTCAGCTCATTTTAAATAAGTAGTTTGGGCAAGCAACAAAAATATAGTGTATAATTATGACTTTACTTAGAAGGACACTTTACTATTAACTTATTATTAACTTGAACTCCTGTGTTTAACGGTTTTATAAGATGTAAAGACTGAAGACTTGTTTGTAAACCTGTCCACAAAACAGCAACAGGAAAGCAGGATAGACACATTACAAACACCACTGCTAAATTGTACTTCTAATGAAATCCACCAAGGCACAATAATAAAGACCTGTTTTGCATCAATATTATGTTTCTCGTCAAATCTATGTGATGGCTTACAGTGGCTTGGGCCCCGAGGCACGGCTCTTGTCTTCAAGAATAATCTTTCAAAAAAACATGTATTCATGAGGCAGACATACTTTCTAAACTAAAATCTGCATTAGTCTACTTGTTTACTGTGTCATTATTGAACAAGTCTTCTCTTTTTACATCATAATGAACAATGTGAAAACATAGGGGGTCATGAGTAGTTAAGAATGAGTTAATAATATTGCACCCTCCAAGTAAAGTCATGACATAATGATACAATAACAGGTCATATTTGTCAAAGTGCACTTTTAATCAACATTCTTTCTCATAGAATGGGCTATATTTGGCTTAAATTTAAAATGTTAATTAATATATTTATTAACAAACATTTATTGCCATTATTTATACACAATCTCAATGTGACTCATGTTATAGTTATGGCTACTTCTTGATTAGTACACGTATTAACTCATCATTAGCACATAGTAAAGTAACATTTAGTTTACATATTAGTACATGATTATTTGTGAATGGTTATTGCAAAGTGTCACAGACAAAATAAAACATCAGGATACTATTTCAGTTAAATTCAGAACTATTAAAGGGTGTATAGAAGGTTGACTTTATATTTCACACCTTTGATTTTAGCCACTAAATATCGACAGATAAATAACAAATAAAACAGAACACACATTTTCCATAAATTGTTGACTATTGTTTTTTTCCTCCAATAACATAAGTCTTTGCTTGCAATATTTTGTTAGTAATGATGAACAGTGCAATTTCATGTGCTGGCTCAGCACATTACAATACTTCTCTGTAGTAAACGGTTTTGAGCAGTACATCTGAAGGAGTGCAATATGCATATAGTTTCTGACAGATCATTGAGCTAATAGTATTATTTGTGAGTCCTGACAAGTTAGGAGAAGTATCAGATCTTTAGGGCATGTACACCATTTAACATAAATTTCCAATGCAATGTCTGAGCACATTCACATCCTTTGTTCTTCTGGCAGTTTCTTTTAAAAACATGAATGCATAAGAGCTCCATGCTGTGAGTCGCTAATCTATATTAGACATTCTCCATTATACTTTCAAAATGAATGATTTCATGCTTCAGGCTCATATGCATTTACATATCCACTTTTGATTGATTCTACAGTTCCCCGCGAATAAAAGAAATTTCAATGAAAGCATTTACATTTATTAAAAGTTTCCCAAGGCACTTCTACCAAAGAGTTTTGGTGATTATTGGCCACTTGTGAATGCGAGGGCTCACATATTTGCATTGGTGTGTTCGTTTACAATATTGTCTTACATATGACATGACATGTCAAATTTACTCAACATACAGCTTAACTATACATATTAAGACAAGCTGTTCACTGGAAAATATATTCTGATGTATATGTATGTTGGCGGTTCATTCCACTGTGGTGACCCCTGTTAAATAAAGGGACTAAGCCGAAGGAAAATGAATATATGTATATAGGAGAGCAGATTGGTTTTTGAGATGCAGTTTTACTATAGCAATATTGTAGTAATACTATGACAACACTGTAGGTACCATGACTGTAGTAACCATGTTTTTTATGCATACTGTGGTGCATACCATGTTTTTTTACACTATATATTTTTTTATAGTAATATTATAGTATTAGTACTGTACACTCAAAGAAAAAAAGGTACCTTTGTAAAAGTTGTACCTTATATGGTACAGAAAAGACCTCTTATGATAATGTTCTGTACCGTTTATGGTACAATTGAAATGAAGGTACACAATTGTTTTCTTAAAAAGGTACATAAGTGTTCGACAAAATAAATATTACTGCAAAGGCAAAGTGATTTTAGGAACAATTTCCATATTAAAACATGAATCATTATCTAAAAGCATATGTTTAAAAAACTCATAATCATTTTTTATTAGTTCTATAATACAAAAAACTAAAGCATAAAACTATAGGTAAAGTAAACTAAATATTTAAGGCATTTTTACCAGACATTTGGTAAACATTGTCTGATAAAAACAGTTTCATTATTGATATCCGCACCTTTTGGCATTGGCTTTTTACTTCGCACATGAGCAGGGAAAAGTCCTGCATATGCAAAGTTTTCATGCAGGAATTTTAGTGTAAAAACAAATCAAACATTGTGCACATCTCGTTACAAAACTTTTGCAAAATTCTATTTTAGAATTAAGTAAATTAAAAGAACTTGATTACAAGGGTATTGTGTAAAAGAATGTGGAGAAAAGAATGTGTTATAATCTACATGGGAGATATTGTACATGTACATGGGAGATATTGTACAGATGTATTTCTGTAACATTTCTGTGAAAAGTGTTGTGAAATGTTTAACAAAAATAGATCTTTTGCTTTATGTTAAAGTATTTTTATTCTTTATTGTAAATGGATAAGGTGCATTTACATAAAAAATAAACTTTAAAAAAAACATTGTTTAAAAATGTATTTAATGTTTTATATTTGTGGAAAATAAATTGACACATTTTGGATATACATTTTGGAAATAAAGTATGTTTTGGTTTTTCATGGTACAAATCATGTCTTTAAAGGTACAAACTGCACAGGTACAAATTAGTTTCTTTGTCCTAAGGCACAATTCTGTTCCATAAAAAGGTACTGCCCCGGTGACAAGGGTTTGTGCCTGTACAATTGTACCTGTACCTGTACCATTTTTTTGAGAGGGTAGTAAATCTATGCAATAATGTCTACAACAATAACAACAACATATTATTAAAAACATTTACATTTATAAAAGATGGTAAACTTTATGTGTAAACATGTTTACATGTGCCAGTGTGATTCAGAAAAATCAACAACAATTTTACAAAAAGAAAATATTTGATAAAACACTGGAATACAGTGGTAAAATATCCAAATATTTACACTTAAGCAAACAAACCACCAAACAAACAAACAAACAAACAAACAACTCCACTGCAGTAAACCTGCTTCATTTTATATTTACTATAGTTTTACTTCAAATATCTTTGTTAAATCGTGGTTCATTTAGTTACTGTTTACTTTAAATACTGTAGTAATTATGCTTCATTTTGTTGTCACTTTTTACTTTGCAACAATTAATTTTGTAGTGACTATGGCTTTACATCAAATGCCATAGTCTGCTTCATTTCTAGTTACTGTGGTTTTCAAATGCCGTAGTCAAACCCTCATGGTTAATTTTTGTAAGGGATAGTCTAAAACCATGGTAAATTTTTGTAAGGGATAGTCTATTCCAATATTTGTGCTAGAAAAAGGAGTAAAGATAGCAGACAGGTTAAGACAAAGATGGAGTGCATTTTTTATTTATTTAACTCCGTTTTTCAGGGGTGTGTTATGTAGGCTGCACACATACACGCACACACGCGCGCACACTTTGAAAGTGAAGCTTTGGACGTGGATCGACAGCTTGGAACTGCAGTCGGACACGCGCGCGTCAAGTGTCTATTATGCAAAAACGTTGGCTATGAATTACTTCGCATCATTCCGGAGCCGTTAATGAATGAAGTGTTTTATTTATCTGGGAGAGATACAAAACATGGACAGTTCTCGCAGTGTACAGCTGCTGAATCCACGCGCACCGGAGCGCCCGCGCGCGCAGCACATAGTTGGCTGACGCTTCGGATTCTTCCTCAGTTACTTTTCGACCGTCAGCTTGTCTCTCTCTTTGCATCGTTACTTTTGCGGAGCGCTTTCGGGCAGCTGCTGAATCTGCTGAAATGGATGTGTCTAAACAAATGCTGATTTTATACCTCACCTGCTCGCTCGGACCTGTGAGTATCAACACTTCATTTGATCCGGTTTCCAGTGCAATTAGTCATCGACGAAAGAAAAGTCCTCAAGTATTTAACACACCTAGTTCTCAAACAAATTGGTCAGGTCCGGGGATACGGAGATTTTTTTTCCTTTTCAAAGTTAAATTGTGCTGACAGAAACTTTGATAAATTAATCTCAGGAAACTGTTGCTCTTATGCTCTTCCTCCTCAGAATGTGCGTATTTCACACAACATAAATTAAATTACTAACTATTAAACTAATTTCATGAGTAATCATATCAATTTATTTAATTTGGTTGCTATAAAGCCTCATAGAATGGGGCAGAATGCAATCAGTTTCACTAAACTGCATTATCAGTCAGAAATTAATATATTTTCATACAAAATCTAGGCTTTGACAGGTTTAATAGTTTTAAAATGATCTTCATCTACACTAAAATGTTCTGACATATCGATAAAAACGTGCAAATATACATTATTTTATTAAAAAAACAGTTTTCATCGCCATTTACAGTCCAATTGATTTGCAAAGAGAGCATCTTTTGTAATCATTCTGCATCTGAGTGTAAAAAAAAAGGTTTCAGGTAAGGATTTTTGCAATGATTTTTGGTTAAAGAGCCTTTCAACGATAAGTTGTTAGTGTGAAGAACATTTTAATAACTCAGAATCTTTTGCTATATAGATTGTTTTTTATTTTTTGTAACTATTATAAACACCCTTTTGTTGAATGTAAATACATGAATGTCAAAGGTTCCCTATCAAACCATCACGGCCAATAAGTAACGTAAATTGAGTCAAGTACAAATGTCCTTATGTCTCACCAGATGTGGATCTAGTTCACTTATTTCATTATGGATCTCATAATTGATTCCACAACATTTTATGAAAAGTGTTGAGTTCATTTCAATTTCAATCATCATATTGTTATTTAAAATCTGTACAGAACAAAAGTCTTTCCTTCTCAGTATTTACTTTAAATTCTTCAGGTTTAGCGTTCCTGACTGATCAGCACTGAGAGTGGCAATGTTGCCACGCAAAGACTTCTGTCACATGAAAAATCTGTGCATTAAAGTGGTTGTTACATATATATTTATTTGGTAACACTTTACAATAAGGTTCATTAGTCAATGCATTTACTAGCATGTACTAATCATGAACAACACTTTTACAGCATTTATTAATCATATTTGAACATGCACCCTGACTTAACAAACTAACAATGAACAACTGTATTTTCATTAACTAACGTTTATTAACATGAATAAATACTGTAGTAAATGTATTGTTCAATGTTTGTTCATGTTAGTAAATGCATTACTTAACATTAACTAACGAATCTTATTGTAAAGTGTGACCATTTATTTTTATCATGGTATTTGAAACAGCGAATGATTTTCTTCTCTTATTGTGACACCATGGTAACAACTCTCAATTCTCCTCAGTTCATCGGTGTGTCCGTGTCAGCACTGTCCTTGATCACAGCTCCTTGTAGACAGTAGTGACTCACGTCTCTATATAGTACAGCTGACCATGCCATTAAATTCACTTCTGATTTTGTCACTCCGCACAGCAGACTATATGTTCAATATGGTGCTGTTGTTTTCTCTGGACTCATATGCGATCTTGTGCTTTCAACTGGTTTAATGCACAGCATTGCTTTTAAACTAAACAAGATATATCTCAGCACCTTTTAGGATTTGTAATGTAGATCTGTCAATATGTGGAATTTAGATTCAGGAAGGTATGTATGACAGTTTATGTATTAATCACCTTATTGAAAATGTGATAACAGGATGTAATGAAACTTACAATTATAAGACCTTCCCCAACCACCTTTGGTCCGCCTTTAAATGAAACAGGAGATCTAACAATGCAAATGCTATTTAATATGTTCTAGTTTTACAAACTTGTGTGAATGACATTTGAAGCAGTCATATGTTGTATATGCTGATTCAACACAATCTCACGGCAATTCGTAACTTTTTCATTTAGTGGCTAATTCGTATGAATTCGTACGATCTAATTCGTACAATTTAGTACGATTTGCTTATCCCCCAATGACGGTTGGGGTTAGGGGTGGGGTCAGGTGCCACGCCTCCTTTTTAAAATCGTACCATTTCGTACGACTGAACTCGTACGAATTCGTACGAATTAGCCACTAAACTGGCAAAACGTAAAATACTTACGTTTTCTCGTGAGATCAGGCTGGCTGATTCGACCTATAGTATTAAACATTTTGTTTAGAAATGATTATAACAATATTAACTATACTATGATATTCAGCATAAAGGTGTGATCAGATTACTTTACTCATACACATATGGATAGGCAATATGGGAAGGAAATTCAAATTTGTGCAAATTGTGCTGCGTTCCACTTTAGTGAAATCTTCAAGCTTACAAGTAGTGTTGGACACTTGGAGTTGAGCCAGCCTGATCTCACGAGAAAATGTGGCTAATTAAATTGGGTAATTTGTATGACTTCAGATCATTTAATTTATATGAAAATGTATGATTTTTAAAAAAAAGGCATGTCCCCATTTTTCTAAGCCAACTGTCATTGGCGGATATGGGTGGACTATCTCTTAAAGATGACTTAGTTTAAATAAATCTGCCCATAGTTCATTTACTTAAAGGGCACCTAACCTTTTTTCAAGATTTAAGATAAGTCTTTTGTGTCCCTATAATGTGTCTGTTATGTTTTAACTCAAAATACCCATCAGATTATTTATTATAGGTTACAGAACAGTAGAATTTTCTGCTTTGAACACACTGTAGCAGTTTTTGTTGCCTGTGCATTTAATACTAGTTCTCCCTGCCCACCGTTCCCAGAGTGTGCCTCAATCTCCGTCTGCGTGCATCAGATAAACAGCATAGTGACAGACATGAAGTAGATCTCATGTTACGTTTGTAAGAAATGCTACAGTAAGAACGTTTCCAATGATTATTTGATGTATTTGCTGTGGAGTTGCAATGATGAGTCACACAATGGCGTTACAAAGGTCATGCACGCCTACACACACACACATACACACGCAGCAGACACACACAGCACGCACGTTTAACTGTGCACGTTTTTGCACAGCAGATGTGACAGGATACACGTTAATTTCCACTGCTGTATGAATATCCGTTATGTTAATGTACAAAATAAACCTGATTTAATGTCCACAAACTGGAAATAAAGCGTCTTCTTTTATAATTGTACTGACATGCGGCTGACGGCTGTGGTGATAAAGACGGTAAAATGGCTGTAATTCATAACAATGCACTGTTTTAAAAATTTTAATCTTAGAAAACTCATTCTTGATCACATTTGATGATGATTGATGATCATAGCGAGCTGAACAGATCTTTTAATCCCAGTTGCTTTGCACACTCCTGTCTTGTTGATATGATTATGGCCCAATCCCAATTCTATTTTTGTACCCCTTCCCCTTGGCCCTTAAAACCGAGGGTGAAGGGGAAGGGCTTCAAAAAAATATCTCTAAGAAGTGGGACAGCACCTGCACACGTCATCATATGTCATCTTGAGCACTTGCTTCTTATGAGATCAGATGATGGTGACTGATGTAGTTATTTCAGTTGTGTATTTTTTTTAGGTATTTATCTTTAGGAAATCACTGAAGGCATATATTAAGTTATCATAACTATCTAATGTGGCAAAAAGATTATAATACAGCGCATTTAACAAAGTGGCCATATTCATCAATGCAAACACACTAACAATAATGATTTTTTAACAGTGTAAATAGCCCATTCCTAGCCACTAGACTTTCCTGACAGGGTATTTGAGTGTCATAGAGTGGCAGAATGTTGTGGGACTGCTGTACAGGAGTTATTATTATTATGGATTATAGATAGCCACATTTAGCGGTTTTTATTTTATTTGTAATTTTTTTTAAAGCATGACGGTAAAACACAAACGCGGTTTTGCATATATTAATACATGTGTTTGTTTGTTGTAAGAATTCGCAATAATGACAAAAAATACTTAATTGTGGATCTCCTTACTTCCGGATTTGACTATCCTACCGTTGTGGCTGGCGTATTCTGGGAAATTTTCTTACCCCTTGGTTTCGAGTGTAGTCCTAAAAAATCTTCGTTCGAATGTCTATTCACCCCTTCCCCAAAACCCTACGCCTTCAAGCTAAAGAGAATTGGGACACCCCTACCGCTTCTCGGGAACATGCAAAACGAGGGGTGGGGTAAGGGGAATGGCTAAGGGGTAGAACTGGGATTGGGCCTAAATGTGTTACCGAGATTTGTTAATACGCGTCTGTCAATCAGTTCGGTGGGCGGAGAAACCGTACTTATACGTCACGTTGCGGTGGGCGTCGAAATGGGAGGGATTTAGATCCTATTTTAACATCAGGAAATTTAAAAAAGAGACTTATTACCTTTATATCTCCCCAAAATGACTGTGGACACACTATACCTTAACACAGTTCTGTCCAAAAAGCTTACAAAAGATGATTTTCATCATAGGTGCCCTTTAAATGAAATGCAACAGGTCTACTCACTTTTTTAAAGTAATTTCAACTAATCACCTTTAATGCAATGATTTTACTCACTCAAAAAATCATCTCTATGCTTTTTACAGTGCAGTAAAGTGTACTAGACTGAACGTTATACAACAGATATAGCCAGCTCACATTTCTGAAGTGCAGAAGAAATATTATTTTATTATTCTAGTGTCTATAGAAATCTTATATATACATAAGTATTGTGAACACAGCTTAAATTAGTTAAAAAGGACGCATTCCTGTTCTGTTTGATGCAGCTTTTGATGTGTAGAACCAGCTATAAAACACTGCTCTGGATCATCACTGTGACCCTTCAGGAACCAGAGTAACATTTGACCCGGACAGTCATACTTTCAGTAATTATGGACTGTTTCGGGAATAACTATTGCTCTACAGTGAATTGTTGATTGATGTCACCTCTCTGTGGCCTCATCTGCCAGAGTACCTGCCATAAATCTCACTATCCTCCACTGCTAGATGGAGGAATCCATGAGAGCAAATACTTAAATAATACAGCCGACATTTTTAGAGAAAAATTGGATACAGCTGCAGAGAGTCAAATAATTTATGCCATGATTTGTTTCCGCTATATAGGAATCTGGCAAGGGTCAACAAAGGTGAAAGGAGATGTTATTTAGGGCTCAGGTACTTCATGGTAAATTGCTTTTTAAAACTGAAGCAATAACATGAATTTGTCCTTCATCATGTCTCGATGACACCAAGAAATAACTATTTCACTCCGTTCTCTTCAAACTATAATTACATTCAGCTTGTTAAGTGATCAAAGGTGTACTGCTATTCAGAAATGTGATGTTCTTAGCTTCAAAAAGTAAATAAAAAACAAGATTTGTTTTATTGCAAGAAATGTACTGCATGTCAGAATCTTAAAATTGTGTTATTGATTAAAACAGATGCTGTCTGTCCAGATGTGTGAGGTCATGTGGGAGCTGGAAGCGGAGAAAAGGGAGTGTTTGTCTAAGCTGGAAAACATCACGTCAGGTATGTAGTGTACACTTCATATATCTGTCACAGCAGATGTGTAAAGAAATTAGGAGTGTAATGATCGCAGTAGGTTTTCAGAACAACAAAAGGGTAAATTAATAAAACATGTTAATTTATGTTGTTGGGTGGCACGGTGGTGCAGTAGTAAGCATTGTCACCTGGGGTGTGGCTGAAAGGCATTTGCTGCGAAAAGCATAAGCTGGAATAGTTGATGGTTCATTACGCTGTGGCGACCCCTGAAATAAAGACTGAGCCAAATAAAAATGAATGAATGAATGATTTATTTCTTGTTTTTATTAAAGGTGAATCAGAATGCATTCATACAGTATGTTAAATTGTTTTCTTTTTTCTACATTGTGCCACATGGCTGCGGAAAGTGCAAAAAATCTCCAGAAATCTTTTCACAAGATCATTTAGAACATTAGAATTTATTGCTATGATAGAATGGTCTTATTTGACCATATTAGGAAGGGTTGTGAATATTAATGAGCTCTGTTCAGACATTCACACTGCTCATTTCAGTGCCTGCACACTTATGTGTGTTAAGCACTTATGTTTAGCAGTTTCCATTACAATCGCACACATGTGTCTGTTGCCTCATTACAAACATATGCAGAAACATTTCACAATATACACGTTAAATATCAAAAGGTACATTTTAACAGATCGTATCCTTCTTCGAGGTGGTGCTGAATACATTTGTAATCCTTATTGCATATTTAGGTACTGCAAACATTCTGTGATCATACTGTACAAGGCTGCCTGCTTCAGAGAATTGCACTTTCATAGTACATATAACACAGGCTTAGATATGGAAAAATCTCACAAGGACATATTAAGAGAAATCAGATGCAGCCTGGGATGGGCAGTTAATGATCCCAATCTAGCAGTTGATGTTTTGTTCTGATTGGCCTTGTTTTTTTTATTGGCTTTACCTGAGAATGAGGAAACAATGGTGTTTGATGCTTAGGGTATGTAATTTACATGTACTGAACTTTAATTATTCATTGATGCCTATAGGTATATTCATATTTTTGTTCTTTGGCACCTTTTAACAGTGGATTGCTAAAAAAAAACATGACTCTGTCTATTAAAAATTAAAGTTATAATTATACTTTTTTATGGTAATGTAATCTCAGCTAATGCTGTAAACTAGGGAGCTCTTTTACTTGTACAGTTCTATAATAATATTCTACAGTTAACACCAGAGCATGAACAATACAATTAAGTTGCTTTATATATTACACTACCTGACAAAAGTCTTGTCGCCTATACAAGTTTTAAGAACAACAAATAATTACTTGACTTCTAGTTGATCATTTGGTACCAGAAGTGGCTTATATAAAGGCTAGATTATGCTTATTTTACCAAAATAAAATATGATCATGCCTTGCTTTTTAATTCTTTAATTAGGACAGCAAGGTCTGCCTTAGCTTTCACAAAAGTTTGTCACCTAACAAAAATAATGTACAGTATAGGATATAAAGTCTTGGTGCAGTGGTAAAAGAATTAATATTTTGTATGACTCCCATGAGCTTTGAGGACTGCATCCATACATTTCTGCAATGACTCAAATCACTTATTAATAAAGTCATTTGGAACGACAAAGAAGGCGTTCGTGCAGGACTCCCAGAGTTCATCAAGATTCTTTGGATTCATCTTCAATGCCTCCTCTTTTATCTTACCCCAGACATACTCAATAATGTTCGTGTCTAGTGACTGGGTTGGCCAATCCTAAAGCACCTTGACCTTATTTGCTTTCAGGAACTTTGATGTGTGGACTGAAGTATGAGAAGGAGCGCTATCCTGCTGAAGAATTTGCCCTCTCTTTGGGTTTGTAATGTAATGGGCAGCACAAATATCTTGATACCTCAGGCTGTTGATGTTGCCATCCACTCTGCAGATCTCTCATGTGCCTCCATACTGAATGTAACCCCAAACCATGATTTTTCCTTCACCAAACTTGACTGATTCTTGGGTTCCAATAGATCTTCTGCAGTATTTGTGATGACTGTGATGCAGTTTAACATATGATTCATTTGAAAAAATCTACTTTCTGCTACTTTTCCAAATGATCAACAAGAAAGCTAGTTATTATTTGTTGCTTGTACAACAAGGATCGACGACAAAACTTTTGTCAGGTAGTGTAGCTATAATAATGTAAGTATAAAATTAAAAGTATGTGCACAAACATGTAAATTGCCACTTTTCAAGGCTGCTGGCTTGGTTTGGAATGTGCTCACTTCACTAGAAATGGTCGCCAAATAGAAATAGCAACCTAATGTGTATTAATCGATAGGCCTAATATTGCAAGAGCAACATTTTGTGTGTTACAAGATCTGATTAAGTAGCCACTGTGCAGAAAATACCGCTATGCTGCTTATCTGCATATCTGCAGAAGTGTCAATATTTTTTTCTCCCTCATTTCTTCTCACAGTCTGCAGTGAGCTCAAACCTCTGTTCTCATTACAGAGACCGAGGACTGGACAGATAATTGTTTTGTGTTTGTTTCTCTGGGTTATCAGGTTTCAGAAGAGGTTACAAAGACATGTAGGTTCATTAGATAGAAATGTCATTCAGTTAAGTGCGATCTTCACAACAACAGGCGTTTCCTTAGCCATTATCTGTAGGATTTAATCAGAGGTTGGTTTTAGTTGAAGACTGAAACATATCAGTAAGCATATTCTGTGTTTTTAATGCATTATTGATTAGATCTGACATCAATGCTGTGCAGTCCAGATTCACACACTGTCACAAGCCTTGTAGTTGAAGGCCCTTATTGCCCTGCAACCCTGCTTTTCAACTAATGATGCTGTCAAAAATAGCTGAAATTACGTAAACTGCTTTTTCGTTTCAATATTAAAGTCATATTCTACTGTGATAATGAAAAACATGAAAAGAAGGTCACCACCAAGGCGGACGGTAACCTTAAATGAGCCATGATAACACGTATTTAATTACAATTTCTAATGACGCATCAAATATTAGAGCAACTTAATTACTGGGATCATTAACAAGGATTTGTGTGTGAGGTAAAAAAGGGTTTGTGGACTTCACTGTTGTTTCTGTACCTCATCAAACTCAACTGCTGTACCAGGCTAATCTAATATTGATTTTCTCCTTAATGGACGAAGCAATTACAAAAGCAGGCGGTGTGACGATGAGGTCTGATTATCTGTGATTTAGTGCGTCGAGGTTGTGTGTTGTCTACTGTGTGTCCTGTGATTTAAATCGCAATCACAAATCTCCCCTGAGTAATAAATCTTAGACCAATATGCAAATTGGTTTCTCAGACTGTGAGATGGACTTTGATAAGGCTCTCTCCTGTGGCATTGAGTTTGATTGGTTTTCTTTTTATCGTGTTGACCGGTTTCTTGGAAAATCTGATATCAGCTGGATTTCATAATTATTTGACAGAACAAAGAATTAAATATAGAATAAAGTCTGGTCACTAAATCAAATGGTCACTTTGAAGTCATCATGAAATGCAAAATTCAACTAAAATCTGTGATCTAAATACATGCCAATGATGATATTGTGAATGATTTATCTATGCATTATCTAGCTATTAAAATGAGTTCCTTCATTTCCATTGACATTAGTCTTTACTGACGTATGACAGACAGTTTGCCCTTTTGAAATCTCTCTCTTTCTCTCTCTTTAACAGTTAATGGAAAACATCAAACTAGGGAAGCATTGACATTTCAGTGAGAATGCTCCAATTTTTTAGTTGATGTTCACGTAGTCTACCTGTGCAAGCCCGTAGGCATGGGGGGCTCAATTTGGCCTCTATATGAGCTCATTTGTCCCATTTTTGATAGTATGCCTTCATAAATTGTGAAAATAGCCAATAGAAGAACACTGTTAACCTCACTGTTGTCATTACTAAAGATATTGAGCTCTATTTTGATGATCCAGGCGCAAAGTTCAAAGCCCAGGCCGCAAAAGCATTAAGGGCGTGTCAGAATCCACTTGTGCTATTTTAAGGATGGAAAAATCCGCTTTGGGCCGTGGCGCATGGTCTAACAGGGTTGAGCTTATTCTCATAATGAGATGTAGGTGCCATGGCGCATTTGCTATGTACATGATGGACTTTGTAAATGGAAAAACTGAAAGCTTCATTAGCAATAGTTAAACAGAGCATCTACAGCGCGAGAATGAGCCTCCTCATCCTTTACTTTCACTTTCACTCTCGTGAATGTACGCACAGACATCAATTAGTTTATACATAATTAATTTCCTTTGTTAAATGCAAATATTTCTTTTAAAACTATTTCTACATTCAGTTCTAATTTCCAGCAAACTAATAAATGAACAATAATAACGAAGTGTGCTTAAAAAATGCTATGCCCTATATGGTCTTAAACCGGACAGGTGGGCAAATCTAAGCTTGTTTTTAATAAAACAAATATAAATATGCAAATAATAAATAATACTGCTAATAATAATAACATTATACAAAAGCAAATTGTCTTGAATAAACTAAAAAAGCCCCCGAAATGAAGAAGGCATGGAGGCAGTGGTTTTTATATTTATGTTGGCTAGAAAATAATAATTTTGTAATATTTTTATCCTTGAATTCTTTTTCATTTGTAAAGATATTTGCGTACTGCTGTACATCCTCTGTGTATTAAGCAATGTTTACACGAGGCGCACAACCTCCTCTTATTTTAGAGGAGGATTTTAGACCTCCTCTTAGCTGGTCTATTGAACATTGGATATTAGTTCCTCTAATAGTTTTTTTAGACCAGAATGCCTACATATGAGCGCAAATGCATTTGCTATTTAAACAGCGTTCCGCAACACATCAAAACGACTCTTGCACCGAGATGAAACTAGCAAACAACAATTGTGTCGCGCCTTTCGCCACATTGCGCCGGATGTATGATAGGGCCCAATAAGTTAATATAATTTTGGCATCAAAACATAAACAGGTGTGTTTAACTTACTCATTAGGCTGCAAAAAACTTTTAATTAATATTTTAGGTTCTCTGAATTTAACATTTTAATTTCTTTAAATGATTCACCATGTCTCTATTTTAAATGATTGGTTGCGCTTGAAATTCTGCCATGACAACCACGCTGATTGGTCGATTTATGTTATATGACACAAGGTGGTCATTTTGCTTGTGATGCTGAATTTTGTTGAAGCGCAGCAGGACAGAGGCACTACCTGAACTCTTCTGACCCACCCTATACATGCAGTCGCCATAACATTATTTATAAAACTATAATAACCTACAGTTTAAACGCACATTTCTAATTACACACTTGGTAAAGTAGTATGGTAAGCACTTTAACAAAATTATAGGAAATATTTTTGTGTGGTTATGATCAGAATCCGACACGCTAATGCAGCAAAGATTAGTGCTTAAAATGTCACTAAAATGCAGTATTTGAACCTCATAATTTATGAGAAATACTGCAAGAAGCTCCACTTTTTGAGTAAAAAGAACCACCCCATTCAATAAGCTGCCTAAAGGCCTACTGTGTATGAGAGAATAGTTAAGCCTAGATTTATGCAACCGAGTACAAGATTACTGATTTATAAAAAAACGAAGAAAAATAAATCAGAGAACAACAAAATAAAGGAAATCATTAGGAAACATTAGGAAGCCATTGGCCACAGTGTTGGGTGAGCATGAAGTGTTAATCCTTGATTATAACTATTTTATCGATTTCAACTGAATACTCTAAAGTCACATTCACACCAATAACTGTAATCATAACTGAATTGCAGTTCACACAAGTGTCTTTAAAGGCAGGATTTTAAATGGCTGGTAATATTTATATCTTTCAGCTGCAAAAAAAAAAAATAAAAGTGGTTCCAATGATTTTGTCATTTAGTAATATAAAGATTGTTCTATTTGTGATGTGGGTTCTGCCATTGAAAATATCAGGTTATTGTAGCCCAATGTTAGGTCAAATATTGATTAACACAACTGTTGGATTTAAAAATTGTCATTTAAATTTTATTTAAAAAATTATGCAATTAAACAATACTGATCTCACGGTGATTACACGATGACGTACATTTTAGTAAGTTGCTCATTCCCCAATGGACGGTAGAAGAGGTGTTTGGAGGCAAGTCTTATTTTAAAAATGGTATGTTTTCATACAAATGAAGTCATATGAATTTGTACGAATTAGCCACTCTTCTTTTTTTTTATAATTACTTTTTAGGGGTTTTCACCTTTATTTGGATAGGACAGTGGAGATTTTACAAACAGGAAAGTGTGGGGAGCAGAGATAGGGGAAGGATCGGCAAAGAACCTTAAGCCAGGAATCAAACTCGGTTCGTCATGAGCACCTTGTACTATGTGTCAACGCACTAACCACTAGGCTATTGGCGGCGACTTAATATCCACTTTTCTGACAACATATAAAATAATATTTCCTCTTGAGATCGGGGTAGTTAGTATATATTTTACTACAACCCAGGATTTTTTTAGTGTAAGCTTTTTTTCTGCCATTGTTTTAGTTTTGTTTTAGTTTTCTTTGACCTATTTGGGGTGGCTCAGTTTTTAGCACTGTCAACTCACAGCAAGAAGGACGCTGGTTTGAATCCCAACTGGGCAAGGAGGGATTTATGTGTGGAGTTTGCATGTTCTAATATGGGTTTTCTCCCGGTGCTCCGGTTTCCCCCACAATCCAAAGACATGCATTAGAGGTGAATTGGATGAACTAAATTGGCTGCAGTGTATGATTCTGTATGTGAATGTTTTTTTCTAGCTTGGTGCTGGATTGTGATTGGAAGGGCATCCCCTGCGTGACAAACGGCGGTTCATTCCACTGTGACAATAAATCAGGGACTAAGCTGAAGGAAAATGAATGAATGAATTTACCTATATGTGGGAAATAATAACAAATGCAAAAACTGTCAAATTGCTTTCTTTATATGCACGTGTTTATGACTTTAAATCAAAATAATATAATATGAATGCCAGTTTGCAACATCAAACAGCAAAACAAGCTGTATTTTATATCCAAAAATCAGTGGAAGTGTATGACTTAAAGTGAAGTCTTGATACAAAAAAGGTCCCAATAGTTTGGCCACTGTTACCTGAAAAAATACTTGTTAAGTTTATCTGCTTATGATTATTAAAATTAAAGTATGTTTCTATTATCTGTAATAATTTGTTCCCATTTCTTTGCTAAGGTTGCACAGGTGAATGGGATCTGGCGTGTTGGCCATCAGCTCGCATTGGAGAAGTAGTCACCATCCCCTGTCCAAACTACTTCAGCCATGTCAGTGATCAAATAGGTATGGACACATATTTTCTAATATGTTTTTGTTTTTAACTATTCTGCAATGTCTTTGAAGGATATTTCAGAGAATGTCCTGGTTGTGACTGAATTAGCATCATAACCGCTGTCAGATCTTTTTCACTTTTTTCTGATTAGTCTTTGATGACTACAGACAAGGGAAATATTGTCTATGCAACTGGGATCTGCTGCGTGATATTTGGCAGATACACTGACAAATAAACCGTATTCTTGGGACTTTCTCTAAGGAGAACCTGGTGGGCCAATTATTTGTTGAGATTTGTTGAGTGATGCAATTTATTCAAAGGAAGAAAGCCATGGCTAACTTTTAATGCTGTTTGGTAAGCCTTTTGTAGTTGCGTTGGGCTAATCAGGATTAGCTGTGGATTCGGCAACTAAACAGAACATCAAACGTGCCTGTGGTTGTTATGGAGATCGAGTTGCTGACATTATCATAATCTGATGTCATCAGATTTTCTTTCTTTTAATTTTTACATAAATGCATCAAGGAATTAAATATATAAAACATGGCAACAATGTTAACGTATTCTGTTTGAAATAATGCTGTCTTATAGATATAATTATTACAGATATCAATGCAAAACGTTCATTATGGGTTTAAACACAGTTGTGTGACAACAGTATTGCTAATCTCTAATGGTAAAAACTAACAAATTACATTTTTTATAACCACACTTCATAAAAACACTTTATTTTGATAAACCTTTTGTTGAATTTAATTTAAATCGCATCAACTAATGTCAACTAATTCTCATTAGATTATAAGTAGACTGTTAGGTTGGGGTTAGGGTTGTGGTTAAGGTTAGTGTAAGTTGACATCTGCTTACAAAGTTTCTTTTAGTCCATTAAATGTTTGTTGAAAGAGCAGTATCAACAGATATTAAGCAGACAGTCTACTAATACTGAAATGGACCATCAAAATAAAGTGTTACCAAAAAGTCATTTAAAAAACAGACATTCTACCTTTGACATGTCATCGAAACAGACCTAAGTGAGAAGCAGCCGTCTGCCAATAAAAAAATCTGCACCGCAATTACTGAAGATAATGTCAGGGGCATTATACATTTGGCGTTTTAAGATGCACAAATTGAACATTGTAGACTGCCTTATTCTGAGCCACTTCTATTGACATTTTTAGTTTTTCACAGAGATATCATTAACCCCAACTCGTTCTGAAAACGTAGCCCTATATACATTACTGGAGATCTGGAATTGTGTAGCCAGAAGTACGTATGACTGCATTTCATCTTTAAAATGAAAGTTACGTGGCGGTTTGATGCCATTAGTTTTCACGCTTATCTCTGTATGGGCGGATTCCTGGCTGTTACTAGTTTGTCCAGTTAGTTAACCATGTACGTCTGTGGACCTGAGATGCAGAGAGGAGTTGCATTTTTTCTGAATTGCTCAACTCAATTTTGTCTGTTAAGTTGAGGTAAGTGGGTGGGGCGGGTCAATCTGTGCTTTTTAAAATACTATTGGTTTGGTTTAGGGAAGAGGGAGATTGGGTCAATTAATCGATCAGTCAGTCAGTCATTCAGTCAGTCAAACAGTCAGTCGACAGCAGCCTCTGGTGGATTTACAAAAGAACAGCAGATGCGAATGGCACTCCCGTGACAAATTTGAGATCTCAAAAAGCACACACAACAGCCTCTCATGGATTTGCGAAAACGAAAACTGTGATAAAAGTAGCTTCTGCGACATATTTGAAGGTCTCCGGAAATGTATATAAAAATTTGTTTTCAGAATGAGCCTGGGTTGATTAATCCTGTTTTGAATCTGCCAGTATGCTGATGCATAGGTATTGGGCTGGAAGGGCTGAGAGCACAATAGACCCTTTTCACATTTCCGGGTTTCTTAGAGCGAAGTAATGGGAGTAGAGCAAACAATGTTTTAAAAAATAATGCTCCCAGATGGTGTTATAAAACCTTTATAACACAACGCAAACATAAACTTTAACTTTAAAAGAACGAGAATAATTGTGTGAGAACTGATGATGGCAGCCAGAGGAAAGAATAACGTCAAATTTACTGTCCTGTCCTATAGACTTTGCATTAGAAGTGCCACACATTATTGGTAATTCATTCATTTTTTTTGTAATTTGAAGCTAAGATGATATAATACATACATAAATGCATAGAACTGTTCATGCAATTAAAAAAATATATAAATGTAAAAAAACTTTCAAGGATTTATGATGCTGATGACTGTTAAACATGTCATAACAAGCTTGTGAAAAGGGTCCATCTCATTTGAATTTAAAGTGACATTCACAAAAACAGCACAATTTGGATCAAAGCCTAAAAGAGGCAGTTTCAAAGAGTCATTCAAATTATTTGTTGGGTATTTTAAGCTGAAACTTCACATACACACTGTAGGGACATCAGAGTCCTATTTGACATCTTTAAAAGGGGAATAATAGGTCCCCTTTAAGTAGCATGTCTTATTTTTAGCATTCATTTCATATTAATTTCTTTCACACCAAATCAGCATATCAGAATTATGTCATAAGGTTTATGTGACCCCGTAGACTGTAAAATAATGATGCTGAGAATTCAGGTTTGACATCACAGAAATAAATGACTTCTAGCAACAAAATAAAGTAGAAAGAAGGGGTTTTGAGTGGTGATGATATTTATATTTAGATTTTACATTTAATCATTTTGCAAATATTTTCTTTTAGCAAAGGTTGAAGAGGTTTAACAGTCTTACCTGGAAGGCTTCATACTTACTGGATGTCTTGAAATAGTTGTGGGTGGTATGTGATCTGGATGGATGAGTTGTGATGAAGCATTGGACTGGCTAAAACTACCAGAATTTCTTTCTTTGCAAGGTTGAGTTGACATTGATGGTCCTTTATCTTTCAAGAAATTTAATTCAGACCTGCTTAAATGTGATCAGTTATTATTGGACCATTAGGTTGGAAAGAAAGGTAGGGTTGAGTGTCATCAGCAAAGAAAAATATGAAATTCCATGTTTCTGCATCCTAGTAAGATATCCTGTAGATAGACAGTAGTCCAAAAACTGAACTCTGCGGCAAACCAGTATAATTACTGTATGTGTTGTAACTTGGACACTACACCACTACAAAAGACCCTGAAGGATCAGAACCACCAAAGTCCAATTCTTGAGTTGCTCTTTGTCCTTATTTGCTGGTAAACCATACCAGAAGCAGCAGACAAATCTATTAATGTGTAGATTTGAAAGCCAATCTTCAAGCTCTAACAACTGTAAGCCGGGTAATCCCAATTGAATTTCTGTCTTTGAAATCAGACTAATTTCTGTTTTATAGTGTTCCTGTTTTTATTGTATTTTTAAACAAATAATTGCAGGCGTGGAGAGCATTAAATTATTTATTTAAAAAGATACTTTTAAACATTTCCTGACCCCTAATGTTACAGTATGTACTGTATATAGGATGCTTTTTTTATGAAGTGAAAACAAGAAGAGGATTGTTCGCAAAAGCAGTTTGGTATATTCAACACAACCCTTGGCAATTCATAACTTTCTGCTTTAGTGGTTAATTCGTGTGAATTTGTATAATCAAATGCATTTTAGTATGATTTGCTCATCCTTCAATGAGTGGTAGAGGTATGGTTGTGGTTAAGGGACATGACTCCTTTTAAAAAAAGGTATATCATTCATACGAATTAAATAATGTGATTTTTTATATAAAGTCACTTTTCCTCCAATTTGTAAAATACTTATGTTTTCTTATGAGAAAGCTGATGTCAAACTCAGTTCCTGGAGAGTCCCATCTCTGCACAGTTTAGTTCCAACATATAAACACACCTGATCAAACTAAATGAGTCTTTCGAGCTTGTTTGAAACCTAAAAGTAAGTGTTGAAGCAGGGTTGGAACTAAACTGTGCGGATCTGCGGCCCTCCAGGAACTGAGTTTGACACCCCTGATTTAAGTGGATGTTTCATTCCTATATGTATGTTGCAGCATGAGTGAATATCCTTGACTTGTGCACTTTTGCTGACTGGCTAAAAACGAAACTGCTTTCATCGTAATATTACTAGCTTGCAATCACATGGGTCTCTGCTGACCTCTCTTTTCCACTAGACTGTCCAATGGACCTGTCAGTCACAGTCATTTGATTGACAGGTATAACAGGAGCACTCATATCATGCCAGATGCCATTTAAATCTTGATTTATTTTAGTTTAACCACCTGGGGAATTCAAAAAAATTGCCTTTTGTCATAAATTTAATAGATCACAGCCTGCATTTCAACTTTCTGTATAATAATTTTCATTTTTATTTGGTCCTAGTTATTCATTTTTTTTCTGAAGCTCACAGAGGAGTAAATGTTGTAATCATGACTTTGAAGTAGAAAGGATGTCCAGGGACTGAGGACAGCCAGGTATCATCAATAAATGTATTCCTTGATGTCGGTTGCTCAATAGTTATGAAATTGTAAGAGAAAATGGCTTTACAGATCAATAAGAGTTCAAAGCAATCCTGTAAAACCAGCCGTGATTTCTGTGCAATTGTTATGTATGGTCCATTTCTGAAATCACACATGATCAAGCACTCTTGATTGAGCTCTCACAAATGTTTCAATGATGAAACTGAGTCTTTAACATATTTATTTAATAGGAAAATGGCTGTTTTATAATGATGATGCATTTAATTACAAACATACACACAGTATCATCTACTCAACTGCTTTTTCTGTCAGAATTTCCTCTTTGAGTTATGACACCTGATTCTCATACAATGAAGTGTTTACACACGTCTAATGGCTTCCAGGTCATATCTGTGTCTTATTGAAAGGGGCAAGCCTTTTTCTGTGAAACTCTGAGAGCTCTGAGAGAGTGCTTTCTGGATGAAATCCAAAACATGGATTGAGGGATTTAGGTGGTACAGGGTGAAATACGCTGGATTTATGTTGCTCATGTGCTTGAGAGTTCATGCGGGAGATAGCCTTCGGTGAGCTGTGATACAGGCCAGATGTGAATGGGAAAAGACCTG